ATCAATACAAGCTTCAGGGGGCCCCGTTACAATTAAGGCTCCTGATTTAGTTCGATACACGAGCAAAGGGAAGTTGTAGAGGAGGTATAGACAGATAGATTTAAAGTGTCTTCATTTCGCCATCGATCGGGTAGCCGCATCTCGCGTAGGTGAGAATGGTTCAACCCCACATTGCACACTGTTACATGACATTGTGTCGCATAGGCAGGTCTGCTCTGTCGCAAATACAGTACATTTTAACTCGTAGGATTTTTCTTTATGATCTTGCAGCCACAACATACCCTTCATCGAAGCGTGGACAAGCCATCTGGTGTTAAATCGACCCAAAGATGCAAATTCGGCCTTCATTCCAGCTCGCATCATGCGATCAAGCCATCGTCGGACATCAATTTAGGCGCTTCCGTCTTCGTAGTGGTCTACCCCGGCTTTTGACCTAAGTTTTTTATGGCCCGATGGCGGACTTCCTTAACTTCTCCTTGGCGGGCATTATAGACTTTGCTCGATTCGTCTCAAGACCCGTTATCCTTACAGTTTTTTGTTATGGTAACAACAAGCTTCACCTCTGTACTATCTCGCAGGTATGCTGCCGTGTCGTCGGCATATCCAAAACCTAAATCTCAGTCGTCCGTCCGCCTAGAGTGAGAGGTACGTCGCGATTTTTCGCCCCCTGTTGGATCACCCGAAAAACACCTTCGACAGCCAGTATGAAAAGTAGTGGTGCGAGTGGGCAACCTTGTCGAATTTCACAGCGAACCTTCCTGCTACTGGAGCGTAAGCCGTTCACTGATTATTGGCAAGTCTTGCTGTTGTGTAATGCAGCCACAATTGATGCAACCCAGAGAAGAAGCCTAGCCATGCCAGCGCCGAAATCGAAAATGGACGTTGTAGCGTGTCATAGGCCTTGACATAATTTAGAAGCAGTACGATATAACCATGCAGATTGGACCTGCCGTTCGCGGTTTATCGGACTGCAGCAAATATTTCAAGTGCCGTATGGATAAACCGCTTAGAAACAAAACCAACTTGGACCGGTGAAACGTTCTGTGATACCAAAGGCCAAACTTGAAACGAAATTACTTTGGTTAAAAACTTGTAGTCGCTGTTGAGAATCGCGATAGGACAATGGTCAAGCACCAAGGCGGAAGCTGAAGTTTTCTTAGAGGAACTGAACATGTGCCTATCCAAACGACGCTGGGAAGACGCTGCAATCTATCCATCTCGTGTACATGGCTGCGAGAAAACACATGATCGCATTGGATAAATCGCGGTAAAGTGTGTTGCTGATTTCGTCCGGCCCTGCTGACTTTCCACGTTTCACTCTTCTCAGAGCCGCACCCGCGTCATCCGGATAGATTGACAGATGAATCGTCAACTCGATGTGGCCGGGCAAAGTGACCAAGAAATGAGGCAGCAGAAATGGGCCACTCGAAAGGACGAGTCACGATAGACTCCCAACCGTCTGCCTTTTCTTCAGCCAGTTCCTGAGACCGATTCGGTCCAGAGGATGCATTTCCACCCAGGGACACAATTATGATGTTAATAAACTTTGTCGCCACTCATGCGTAAAATCTGCGGGAAGTCTCGCCCGGACAGTGCGTGTGTTGAATAAGTAAACGCTCTTTCTTGGTTCTTTGCCATAACCAACGACACTCGGCCACATTTTGACGAAAAGATTTTGGCTAACGCCAGAAACAGACTGCTCGCTGCTCCCGTAAAGGTCCCCCGGAGCGACATCTGAAGAGCGCGCCACCAGTAGTGCCGCGACGAGCCGGACATATAGGCGACGCAGTCGCTGCTGATAAGGTCGCATCAAAGTTTGACGGGCTTACTTGGTGATAGCCATTGAGCTCTATGTACACGTATCTTCTAATAACCCCACCAATCCGCAAGTCTTCGGGCCGTGTTATAGCTCGCTGTCGTAATCAAATTTGCGTCCTCGACTCCACTCTGTGGCATCTCTAGAGCATCAAAATTTGCGCGGTTTGCGGCAGCTTTCGCACATCCCGGTACGAGATACACTATTCGTGTCTTACGCACGCGCACAAGTCGTCGTGGCAATCCGATCCTAATAGTTATTTTATTGTGGTCCGCCGATGGCCCGCGAACTGAGAGGGCGACGTCGAAGATCCAGTCAGCATGCAGAGCAACTACATACCACCGATCATGCCGAGAGCTGAAGGAGCCATTCGCAAGCAGATTGTAGAAATGAATGTTCGCCGCAGCATGGAATGCTGTAAGCTCAGGCCATTTCTCCACTCGCTCCATCTCACCTTCGAGGACGTCACTTATCTGTGCCCGAGCGAGAAGCCGACGAGGTGCCATAGAATCATGTCTTCCGGCAGGAGTAGCGAAAGGAATATCCAGCGGTGGAACTAAGGGTGCATTTAAAGTCGCCTTCAATAGTATCGTTATGCTATCCTCTATGCTCCCGTAGGTGGTGTCGAAGCAATCCGGACATGTTCTCCCGTCCACTAGTATCTTTTGAAGCATATGCATTGACGACGGGGGCCGCTTCGCCCATAAGCGTAACGATAGCGGCCCTACAATGTGGCGTCTAATGCTACTCGCTTCATGTATCCATCTTAGTTATCGACGAATATGGATTGAGAAGGATAGCTACTCCTCCATGCGCTGCGTCTAACTCAGTTCATATAGTGTGCCCTGGTTTCACAACGGAGCCCCACGCCTTGTTATAAAGCCTGTACACAGTGGCTGCTTCACCATGAGCGACCCGCTTTTTTGAAGAAGACGCCAAACTATTACCTCTCGCTCATCGCGTTGAAATAAATGTCCAAATTATTCTGCACATCGTTTAAGTTTCTTGCAAATCTGGTAACATTTTGCGAATGTAAACCGAGGCTATTTTCGCGTGGCCACCAGGCAGCCGTTGACATCAAACGCCGTCGGCAATGAAGTGGTCGGGGAGTATGATCAATCCCGTCACTTAAACAAGTTTAATCAAGTTTAAAAAAAAAGAAAGCTGAGCCACTCATTCTGACGATTCAGGCCCTAAATCAACCGCGGTGCCCTAAGTATACAGGGGCCAGCATCTGGCCGTTGCGCGCGATAAGGTCAAGGGTCGTCTAGTATTGGGCAGGTTTGGATATGACTCCAAGGGATGTAGCACGCACTTGTTTGGATAGGTGATAGAGCATCGCCTTGGCATGTGGCATTACAAGCTTGGTCTCGTCTCCTACAGGCGCAAGCGCTGGTAACAAATTATAGAGGACGTTCAAATCGCCCCAGTGATCTAATTTGAAAATAGTGTCGACGAAAGTTGCACATAATAAAACCGGCTGTAGTTTGCTTAATCGTCGCCAGCGCATAATGGAGTCAGGTATTTCCAGTGAGTTTACCTGTCTGCCCTTCTGCTACCGCGGCCCACCCCATACTTTTCTCTCGGAGTTTCCCATCTTCGTTATTAGCGTGTTGTCTACTGAGAGCAAGCTGAGTCACACTATAAATGAGATGGGTAAAGGCCCATAGTGTAACGGGGCACCCTGAAGCTTGTATTGATGACAGTACAAGCTACTTATTCTGATAACAGAATAAGGCGGTGCCTCGTAACTTCACGTACACTCGTACGTGCAGAGGAAGACGGTAAGAAGAAGCGAGTACTTGGTTAGAGTAAAAAGTAGAACTGTATTTAGCATAGTTAATGTCTGCAATAAATCACTATTTATCTTCATCTAACTATGTCTGAATACAAATGTGTAAATCAGTTATCTGCTCACCACTCATTGCGTGCGTCTGTCGTGGCGCGTCTTCGTTGGTTGATATAATGGCCTATATCAACCAATTAGGAACTACTTGGAAGTGCTACAGAATATTGTCCTTATGACAATATTCTGAGAATATAACTCTTATAGTTATATTCTATTAACAATTTCTTATAAATTGTTATGTAACGATTCACCCCGTTACATCACCCCCCTTAACCATCAGTCACTTTAGTGACTGATTGACTAAATGGATACTCGTCCCAAATCATTTAGGACGGGGTTTGCACTTGTTGGTCCGCGTCCACTTTCCAACATCTCATCGCATGGTAAACAAGCCCATGCGATGCGCGAGCAAGGCCGCCGAGAGCGCGTCTGCACGTCTCTGTGCGGACGCCGAAGCAGAAACTACAGCAACTGATGTCCCATCGGTTGCTGAATCGACTCAGCCTGTATCACCTGGTGATGCAGGCGCTGGTCATGAAGACACTCGTGTCTTCACAGAGTACGAGCTCGGTGTCTCGTACTCTCCTGATACGGATGACGGATCCGTATCGACGGCAATTGAATCCAAGCCGCCTGCCAAGCGTGGCATGGACGATGCTTTGCGTCGCAGCATCTTTGGTTCATCTGATGAGTCAGATGAACCATCGCCGAAGCGAAGGCGCTCGAGGTCGCGAGACTCGGGCGCTAATAGTGGTGTCGTTTCTCCAATGGACACCACTTCACAGCGAGGTGCCAGTACTTCTGTCGGCACGTCGCAGGAAGAGCGGGACCGCAATGTGTTGCGTCTCGCTCCAGAAAAGAAGGCATGGATGCCTCCTAAATCTGTCATGGATCACTTGTCGGCGACGACGAGTGATCGTTATCGAACACGATTGTTCGATTCGTCGAGGATTCATCACCTTGACCCCAGCGCGAAAGGCTATCGCGCTGAACATGAAGTTCTTCATCGATGCTTTCTTCAGACATCGATGGTACAGTGGGAATCACAAACGTGATGGTCCCTCACTACTTCAGGCGTGGAACGCCTACATCCATAATCTCGAGGATGTAGGTCGTGACGCTTGGAACGACAAACTTATCAAAGCTCGTGATAAGTTTGAAAAGCGAACCCCGACAGGTGCACGCTATAAGCTGCATCGTCTGTCAAGGGAGAAAGGATTACCCTGCCTCTCTTGGGGAGACTCGTGCCCATGTTGTGTGAACAACTCTGCACGAGCACCTAAGGAGGCTTACCTCCTTACCAGCCCGTGGTGGCGCGTACGTGTCTCTACTGAGATGTACGAAGGGATTGACAATCTGAAATCCCTTTACGACCGTGCCGGGAAGACTTTCTCCGGCGGTCCTTCTGCGGCACAGGATGTGTCGCGTCGTACTGCTCGACCAGACCCAGTACGTCAACCATCAATTGGGAGCGGGGCTCCCAAGAATCCCAGGACGGGGGATAGCCGCGCCACCGGACGAGGTAACTCGTCCGACGTCCGTTCACGTCGCGGTGGTTCAACAGCTGCTCTACTAGATAGCGCTGGCCACCACGAGAGTCCTCTTATGGAGGTGGAGGAGGAGGAAAAACGCTCTCCAAACTATCGTGGGGAAGCGTGTATCCCCGAGAGCCTCTTTGATCGCGTAACGCAAGGGTTACGCGGCGATCTCGAGCATGAGCGGGACAGGCGTCTCCAACTGGCGGACACTGTCTTGAAGCATCGAGCTGAGTTTGCCTTTGCGCAGCTTGAGAACGAGAGAGCTCTGACATCTCTGCGTGACGAGCTAAGGGTAGCTCGTGAAGATATTGACCGGTCTCGGGCTGAGATAACTGCTCTTCAGACCCTTGTCGATATCCACCATCGGGAGCACAAGGCTCTCTGCGAGATGCTTGAGCGCAAGGGCGTTCTTCATCGGAAGAAGCAGCGTACTGATGGTACGGCTTAAGCCGACCAACGTAAAACATGGGATGCGTTCGCATCTAACGTGGCAGTTCGATCGTGTATGCGTTGCCTAGGTGATGCAATACACGAAATGGGCCGATGTACTTGGGTAGTAGTTTACTACTACCCAAGTTAGTCACTACATGCTTTGGTAGATTAACCGTAGACAGTAGGACTAATTCCCCTTTATTAAATAAAAGAGTGTTTGCCCTTCCGTTCTTGTCTGCGTTTTGCTTTTGCTTATCCACCGCTTCGGCGATGGAGTCTTGCACAAAACGGACTACCGTTTCACGAGCCAGTATGAACTCATCTGCTGGCTCGTTAGCTGCAGTGCGCTGTGAGTGCACTGCAGCGAAAACAAATTTTTCTTCAGTGAGGGCTTCCGCACTCTCACTGGCATCATCTTATTCGATATCGATGTTGTCGATATCGGCATCAAACGCAATGACCTCTTTGTCAGAGCGTGATGAGCGTGAACCAAATCGTTTTTTGCTCGCGCGAGTCCCTCCCCCCCTTAAACCAGAGTTACACTCTAGTAAGGTGGGTACACGCGGATGGCGCAAGCCATTCACGTAAAACGGTGTATGTGTCGTGGACGCATGTACCGAGTTGTTGATGGCAAACTCTACCATTGGCAAAAACTCACTCCAACTCTTAAAGGAGTGTACGTATCCTCGAAGTATCTCTTCAAGGACACGATTGGCACGTTCCGTCTGACCATCGGACTCTGGATGATCAGATGTCGACATCTTCAAGCGCGTTCCGAGTGATTTGAACACGGAACGCCAGAAATCAGCAGTGACGCGTAGATCTCTGTCTGATACGAGTTCACGGGGCAACCCATGAAGTCGGAAGATGGTGTCAATAAAGACACAAGCACAGCCACTTGCCGTGATTGTCTCTGGTACAGCCACAAGGTGTACCATTTTGCTGAATCTGTCAACAAATACGAGAATACCCGTATTCCCGCGTGCGTCTTTGGGTAACCCGAAGACGAAATCCATTGAGATGGATTCCCAGCACTCAGCCGGAACCGGTAGAGGCTGTAAAGGTGCACGCAGTGAAGGACTTGACTTCACTCGTTGGCAGACTTCGCATGCGCGAACATACTTTCGCACAAACTGATACTGGCGGGGCCAGTAAAAGTCTCGACTTACCGTGAGATATGTTTTCTCTCGGCCACGATGTCCTCCTATAGGAGCATCGTGATACTCGAACATGATCCGCAAACGCAGATCAGTATCATCTGGAATGACAACACGTGGTGTGTCACCAGAAACGGCTGTATAGTACAGTAAACCGTTACGAGTAGTGTATCGATCTGATGCAGATCGATACGCAGACGACAATCGTTTCAACGATTCTCGAGATGGTTGGGAGAGATGTGACAACAACTTCACTATCTCACCATCTTGGGCGTATGCCCGCCTCACATCATCATACAACGTTGTAGATGGAACTGAGGACGTCATAACCGCAACAGTGACTGTCTCACTATTGGGTTTCGCGACTGTTTCAAAGTCGGGACGACGTGAGAGTGCATCAGCGACGACATTAAGTCGTCCTGGTTTGTACTCGACCGTAAAGTTGTATTCTGCAAAGAATGACAACCACCGCGCCATTCGTTGTGAAAGGTGCGGGCTGTTCACTGCCGTGCGTAAGGACGCATGGTCAGTGTAAACAACGAAGGGTCTATCTCCTAATAGATAGACTCTGAACTTCGCGAGTGCATACTTCATGGCAAGGAGTTCCTTGTCATGCACTGTATAGTTCCGCTCAGCTGGTTGCAGCTGACGCGACTGATAGCAGACGACGCGTTCAACGCCTTCAAGGTCGTACTGCATTAATGCACAGTCGATTGCGAAATCGCTGGCATTACAGACCACATGAAATGGCCTGTCCTGATCGGCTATTGCTAGGACTGAGGATTGTATCAAGCTCTGCTTGATACCCTCAAAGGAGCGTTGACATTCAGCGTTCCATAACCACCTCTCGTTCTTTTTCAACAAACGAGAGAGGTGTACAGTCATCTCGGCGTAATTGCGTGAATACTTATGCAAATACGCCGCTAGCCCAAGGAATTTTCGAAGACCTTTGACATCGACCGGCACGGGCCAGTCGGTGATCGCCTTGATCTTTTCGGGATCAGGACGTACACCGTTCTTACCAACGATGCACCCAAGAAGTGGTATTTCGCTTGCTGCAAATATACACTTCTTGAGGTTTGCATACAATTGATGCTTTCGCATGATTGTAAGAACTTGTCGGACGTGGTACTTGTGAACCTCAACGTCCGACTTTCCATCCATAGCTCGACTATGGATGAATACGTCATCGAAATAACTCGGCGCGAATTCTCGTACTGGCCTCAACAGATGTGATACACACCTGTTGAACGTGGCAGGGGCATTACTGAGCCCTTGTGGCATTACTAGCCATTCCCAGAGCATGCCGCTAGGCGTGCTAACTGCGGTATAGGGTATATCCCGTTCCCGCATTAGGATTTGATAGAAGCCATCCATCAAATCCATGGACGAAAAGATGGTACTCTTTGACATACCATCAATGATTACGTCCTTCCTCGGTATCGGCGTCTGAGCCGGTACCGTTGCAGCGTTCAATTTGTTAAACGCGTGCACTATCCGCCACCCTCCTGTTGCTTTTCGCACACAGAAGGTCGGAGAGCTATGTGGGGAAGTTGATTCCCTCACATGGCCCGCTGCTAAACGATCGGCAAAGAACTTGTCGATCGCAAGTACTTGTTCACGAGGCAGTGGCCACTGCTTCATGACACAGTACTTCGAGCCTGGTTTAAGCTCGACTTCGTGTCGAATACCTTTATCCTTCGGTAATTCGCACGGAACAGTTTCAGGGAATACATCCTTGAATTCAACCAAATCTTCGTAGAGAGGATTTTCCTTGAGCGATTCCCATGATTGGGACTCATATCGCTCAATTCGTGTCTTTTCATCTAGGACACTCTCGTCCATAGATGAACTACTGAGAACTCTCTCGTTCTCAGTAAACACTGTTGCTGACCTTATGTCGGTTACATACTCGTCTTCAGCGACGAGTATGCAGATCTGCTTGACTTTGCCACTACGCAGATCACGCAAGAATCTTTTATGTTCGAGCGTTGGCAACTGAGTGATCTCCGAAGTTAACTTCGGAGGCGCAATCAGATCAAGTGTATAAGCGCCTACACATGATCCGTTATTGACTATGACATTCAATGTCTCTGTCATTTCCTGGGGACTTATTCCCTCAGGCTTCGAAGGACTTACTCCTTCGTCTTCCCGGGGACTTATTCCCGCGGGTTTCGGGGAACTTATTACCGCCGTATTTGTAATCTTGGGACTTATTCCCTTTACTTCCTCTAGCTGGGGTTGCGCAACCACAGCGAGATCCTCTACGAAAGACTCTCCAGTCGATCTATGATTATCGTTTCGCTTAACCTGAGCGATCGATTGTTTCTCTTCTAGATGTTCCCCTCTAGGGATACATCTTTGTCCCAGTCCACCCGACTTATTCGAGTGGTGGACCTTCGGCGCAGCCTGTGTTTCCTCACAGCCGCCGGAACTTTGCTCCGAAGTGTAACCGTTTGGTACACTAAGGTTTTGTGCAGTCGTACTAACGACCGTACCACAAGTGAGGCCATCGCACTCACTCGTAGTATATCCACACGCTTGTGGACTCTCCAAAACGTTCATCAGATGGCCATCTGATGAACAAGCGGCAGGCATCGTTACTGTCCGATGTTGCCAGTTTACCCGTGGTTCGTACCTTCTGAGCCACGGTATTCCAAGGATGACATCAAATTTGTCATCCAAATCCAATACGATAAAGTCATCGTCGTATTGGGTATCTTCTAGCGTATAGTGAATCTTCACTATACGCTTCATGATTGGTTACGGATGCGCCTGTCGCAAGACGTACCGTCATCCTCGTAGGAGGTGTGTCACATTCACTGAATTTAAAGTGACCATCTTCTAGCGATTGGCGTCGCACAAAATTGTTGGACGCCCCACAATCGACTAGAGCTCGAAGGGACAACTTATTCGTCACTTCGAGTTTCAAGGTAATGAGTGAGATCTCATTACCTAGAGCAGCAACGCACAATGTCTGTGTGTTGGGAGCAACCTTCATCAAGAGGCCTACAAATTCTCTTGACGTTGCTGGATCAGTAGGGTGCTCCGCACCTACTGATCCTGTCCGTTTTTTGACGGTCCATCCCGTTGTTGCGTCTTTGCACCAACTGCGGACCCTCGTCCCTGCCCCTTTCTCATGGGTGGACGGTCACTACGCCCAGTGTCGCGAGACACTGGACGAGGGGCACTACACTCGTAAGCGTAGTGTCCTGTCTTTTGACATCTGTTGCATCTCTGCAACTTCTTGTAGCCTGTAGAGCGAGCCTTCTCGCTCTCTACACAACAGAGTTTCATCGGCTCTGGACCTCCGTTGTCATATCGTCTCGGTTGACGATATGATGTCGAGCTGGCGCGAGCCTGTCTCAGACTGAAGTCTTCCTGCTCCGCAATTGAAATGGCTTGTTCTAGTGAATCTAGTTCAAGCCGGAACAGGTGAGTCTTGACGGGACCATCCGCAAGACCCTGCATGAACACCGAAACCAACGTGTGTTCATCCACCGGATTGGAACTTATACAACTCGTGAGATGTCGTATATGTTGAGCGTAAGCGTGCACATCACGCTTACCCTGCTTGAGCTTCAAGAGTTCGGTTCGAGCTCTGAACTCAGCTCTAGGCGGTTCAAACGTTTGTCTGAGCCGCGACTTGAAGACTTCCAACGACCCAAACGCGTATGGGTCGTGCAACTTGAGCCCCAGTGCCCAAGTCTTGGCACGTCCTGCCAGATTTGACTGGGCAAATGCAACTTGCATATCCCCGTCGTCGATGCGACGCGCCCTTATGGCGTCATCCAATTCGACGAACCATCTCAAGAGGGAGTCTTCTTCGACCCCCTATACTTTGAGATGTCAATCTTCAAAGTCTCGGGCCGACGCGAGTGCATCGACCCGCCAGCAGCAGCTTGCTGCTGTCTCAACAGTTCAAACTGTTGAGCACCTTGTTCTCTCAACAACTCTGCTTGTTGAGAACCTTGTTGGTGAAGCAAGGCTACTTTCTCGCGTTCTGCGTCAAGTTCATTTTGAATGAACTTGGCGATAGTAGCATGTTGGGCATCTCTATTGAGAGCCTCTAGCATGACGCTAACAGCATGGATGCCCATGGTCGAACCCCTTCGTTCAACCGCATCCCATTCGACATCGCTCAAATGGGAGTAGCCGTCACGCGTAGCGTGAAAGCTTTGGTCATCTTCATCATCCAACATATTCATGTTAGATGTGAACGCGGTCCTTGGACGGACTACTAAGTGCTACCAGGTGTAACGGGGCACCCTGAAGCTTGTACTGGTGACAGTACAAGCTACTTATTCTGATAACAGAATAAGGCGGTGCCTCGTAACTTCACGTACACTCGTACGTGCAGAGGAAGACGGTAAGAAGAAGCGAGTACTTGGTTAGAGTAAAAAGTAGAACTGTATTTAGCATAGTTAATGTCTGCAATAAATCACTATTTATCTTCATCTAACTATGTCTAAATACAAATGTGTAAATCAGTTATCTGCTCACCACTCATTGCGTGCGTCTGTCGTGGCGCGTCTTCGTTGGTTGATATAATGGCCTATATCAACCAATTAGGAACTACTTGGAAGTGCTACAGAATATTGTCCTTATGACAATATTCTGAGAATATAACTCTTATAGTTATATTCTATTAACAATTTCTTATAAATTGTTATGTAACGATTCACCCCGTTACACATAGAGTCTCACCGGTCATGGAGGCGAAATTTAAAATCGGGACAGACAGAGCACGGACGAGCGCTGCCAGTTCCAGCGCGCAGGAGCTATTCCATGATTCTTGGACTTTTGGACCATCAGGCAGTAGTGTATCGGGAACTATAGCCACCGCTTTCCGCTGGCTTACCCACTGTAGAAATGCGGCTATGTTTGCAGAGATTTGTTTCTTGCTCTCTGTCATTACTTCAGCTGCTTTGGCCGCCGAAACGTTATCTAAAAGTTTACGGACTTGGGTGGCGCGTAAGGTCTATGCAGTGGGTCGTGAGTGCACATGAATACTGGACCGCCACAGGTCAGAGTTTCCTCATGGCCAATCTGTGTTCAAGCCTTTGTTACAAGGTTGCTTAGGCATTGGTCGACCATTAATCCGGACGATGCAGTTATCTGATCTGCTATAGCCTTAGCCAGCCCGCTGGTACAGGAACACTGGCGGCGCAGGGTGAGGGAGTTAATGCACCTTTACCGAGAATATCGTTACGCATGGTGTGGTCAAGAGTAAAATAATTCGCAGCCATTGTCGCGTCAAGATCTTGGTGACTTCACCACGTCGGGCTAAAGAGGACACGTCGGAGGCTTGTCCAATGAAACCAGAACGTGTGGTGTGGCCGTTTAATGTGGCTCTCCAGAAGTTTTCTAGCTCCTCACGCAAGCATGGATTGCTACGACGGACTTAAGACGTCGAGAGGCGGCAAATCGTCAAGCAGCAGCAAATTGTCAAGCAGATGCGCTCCCTAATTACTCGGCTATCTCGGCCGACCACTTGAGTGGTGGTAAATTAGGTCGGAGGACGTCAACCTCGATCGCGGGCTGCTCCTTCATGTAAACTTCACCAAGCGGCGTTTCAATGTTTTTTATGTTTTCATAACTTCATTAGTTGTTCAGGTGGTTGCCGCCCCGGCTGTGCGGTACATATATATTTCAAATTAGGCAAAGAATCATCTTCGTAATCGAAATCAGGCGACTCATCGCCCGTAGAAGCTTCTTTGGCAATCGCCATTTCCAGCGCATGATTGCCAAATTAGCACTTTTTATTTAATTCGGCAATGCTCTGCTACTCGGCTGCCTTGGTGGATAGCATAGCAACCTACTGTTGTGCGCTATCCAACTGCACTCGAGAAAGTGCCAGTTCCGTAGCGATTAAGGAGAAGATGTTTTCAGAGTCCACACCACCTGTATCCGTGGTCGCTTACGCCACTGCATCCTTGTTGTCACTTCCGAGCGGTTCGTCAAGTTCGTGAACCGCCTTTGCGCTATGCTGAGCCTCCTGTAATGAGCGAGTAGGCGTATTTACTTTTGCAAGAGCGGGCGAACGTCCAGTCGTACGTCTCTATACCGTTTTTAGTACGGGTAAGTTTTGCGTGCCCTACACTGGCTTCTTCGAGGTCTTTGCGACGGAGAAAGTCGCCACCTGAGAGGCAGGATGTCCGGCCGCTTGGGCTAGATGCGCACCAGGACGCCAAGACGGTCGAGCTGTAGAGCCAGACGGTTGACTGATGATGGTGCATTCAGTTTCGAGCCGCGCTTTTTCTTGTTGGTACTGGGGTCAAACCACCTATCGGTCAAACTATAGGCGGGACGTAAGCTACTGCCGATTACTGCTTGCTGACCACTGGGTGAAGAGGCAGAGATGGGTTCCGTATGGCTGGCACGCATGGTTGCCTAAAAAAACCTTGGCTGAAAGCGGGGACTTGCGCGCGTCTAAGACTGGCCGTTATTACAGTAAGTGTCGCCGCCATGCCAATGACATGTTGTAAGCGCCCGTGCGTATTAAGGTTATGAAAGGTCAACCTGCTGAAATGTTTGGCAGCACGGTGTAAACCGGTGAAATCTCGTTTATGTTAGCAGAGAAAGATTCCTGGGCGGGCCACGCTTTTTGCTTTGGAATGGTAAGGCGAGTAACATGGGAAGCATGGAATCCGTTGGAAATGCCGGTGGTGGTGGAGAAAAATGATGTATCGGCGTTCGCGATGGGGTCACCAGTTTGAGCTACTCGGGACACTTAACTGCGTCGAAAGTTGCCACGAAGAAATTGGAGCCATTCGCCTCCGACTCGTTCGGGCCCGCACGAGTCTCAGATGCCACTGCAAAGGACACACTCGACGACAAAAGATCCTGTACATTGCTAATCTTTACCTCATTGACGAGAACCCGTACTTGGTGAATCAAAAGAATGTGTCCGACCGGCGTCGCTGAGGCCGACGCAGCAGACATGTCCTCCCGCTCCAAATTAGCAGGACATAATAGTTGAAGATGGGCACCCCGAAACGAAAATTGATTTGGCATGCCAAATCTCTCCTGCCGCTTGATCTGGCAGGGCGAAGGTGGGGCGTCGGGATTAGGCGATATAGCTAGTTCGTTTAGCTCTCTTGATTAGTTCGCGATCCATGGGGTCTTTTGCGGGTTCCCCCTCACGGCTCTTTAGGAGTTGTATAAGCAGCGCCTTCTCAGCAATATGTTGGGGCGTGCGCACGAACGGCGTCATAACTGCAATAACTGTTCCTTCTAAGTAGGCCCTAAACCGAACATCTCAACCCGCGTCGCCCGAGGGTATGTACACATCAGAAAACCAGGCAGTGATTATAGGATAACACCACCCATCATCCAGGCCGCCAACCCTTCTTCTTTAAGTGGTAACAATGGGCGCTGATCACCGCCCGCTTTCGATCCACGCCCTCGTTAACGTACAAATTACCTCTTCACTGCGGTTGTGGAAGGGTCCGTTGGTAAATCCGGAGGCGTGACTTGCTTTAGTAGGTGCGTCTCTACTTAGCGAAAGGGCGGACAGCACCGGCAGGTGCGTCGTAATTGGCGAGGTTAAGCCAGCACCGTGAAGTGCGACGTGAAGTGCGCTAAGACTCAGCAATTCACCGACAGCACCGTTAGGTGCGCCTCTACTTGGAGAGCAGATGACGTCACCGGTTGGTCCGCAAGGTTATGGCTAATGTACACCAGCTGCATTGGAGCAATGCTCTAAGGTATGAATGGAAGTGCCACCGACGGTGCACGAAGAGAAATTTCACCCTCTATCTAAATTGTGTGCGCCGATGACGTTCACCGCCGCTGCATGCGAACCCCGACCAGCCGCCGCCTTGAGTGTGGGGTTTGGCACGCCTGCTGCCTCGCTTCGCAGTGGTACGCCCGCTTCTCCACCGGCGACCGTCCCCGGCTCTCAAGGATGATCCGGCTCGTGGGCCTGCATGCGCACATCGGACGTCCTATTCGGTATTCGAGACCCGACATACATCTTTCCGCCGGTAGCAGAGATTATGGGTTGTTGGCTTCGTTCCACGTACCATATTGTTCGTTTGCGTACATAAGCGCAAATCTGAAAGTAAAGCCCGTAGATTTGTTAGCCTTCTGAAACAGATAAAAATGGAAAGAATGTACAGGGTAGTCATGCTTAGTAACGCCGCCAAAATAAAATGCGGCCAACGACGCTTAAAAAGCATTTAAAGATGTCTGGTGGAAAAAGCTTTATCTGCTACTAAGGTAAAAATATGATCATTACCTCATAATCGCGAGCCCTAAAATTAAAGGTATTAGTAATTGGGCGCAAGGAGAATGCCGAGCTCTTATACTCGCACTTATCTGTCTGATTGCCTGTCTGTGCGTCGCAAATAACGCTTAGCGTACCTTACACGTCGCTTTAAAAGTAAAGTAACCTGTGCCCTTCTCATAGTTGTCACTCTTTGATCAGGTCATCGATTGCGACCGCAAAGTGTGTACTGTTCACATTCGCAAGTGATTGGCTAAAAATTAATGAAGGGCAGACAGAGCTGGCAAAAAGAAGCTGTACACTCAGGGGCAGCAAAATTCTCACACAAACCTAAACAGCTGGTGTTAGTGATCTTTATTTATATTTAAAAAAAGGATAAGTTTATGGTCACGTTTTATCTTGGTTGGATTTAAGGCTCATTTCACTAATTTATGTTAATTGTGAATAAATTAAATGTCATCGACCACATTTTTAGTAGACGGCGTAACCGAGTAGGATTGTTCTTTGTCCACTTATTGAAGTTGTCACTTAAAATTATCCACAGTATTAAAAATTAATCTTTATACACAAAAATTTATCAGCACTTTATTATATAGCACATGATAAGCAGTCCATTATCGAGCCACTAACAATTAGGAATGCACGTATAAACACAGAGCTTAGTTTTGTTACTCAAACTGAATTTTTTACACAAAAAGCTGCTCCAGAGCTTGCTCCCCTATTTTTTTAAGTATATCAAGTATTCGGATCGAAACTTTTTCACACTTCCCGTAGCAAAAGATACAAGATTTTCTCTGCCCTTAAGTTTTTAGCATTTGCCGACTAGCCACCTGTCCACCCTCTGGCACTTCATGTCAATTATTTGCGGGCATTTGTGCGTATTTGAACATCACACCAGTCGCAGTCGCAACTGTGACCTGATCAAAGAGTGACACCTATAATGCCTTTCGACCAAAGAGGACGGGAAACTCTACAACGCACTTTGTATGACATGTAATCTTAGTCACACCAAGAGCTACATTACAACGATTAAATGTACCGGTCGCGAGTCATCGTATTAGTGATTTTTTTGTCGATTCAAAGTTTTAAATTTCTTCCTCGATCGGTTATTTCCATTTTTAATTCCGACGATACCATTTAAAATTTGAATTCGCACCCTATTGTAAATGTTTAATCGTATGTGATGTAGTGGCATTTGCCAGTAAGCGATGATCCACAAAGCAAATGTTAAGAAAGCACGAGGATTAAGAATGCGTCAGCGTAGCCTGTATCGAGTGTCCTTTTATATGGTTAACCTCTTGAGAAACATACTGCAGTTTTGCATGTGCATGCAAAATTGTGTATATGCTGTATACCTCTGTTGTCGTTTATTAGGGAAGTGGCTATATTAGCATCATGGTGGCTGCATTCCAGGCTGCGGAATTAAAAGAACTGGTCATATGGCTCCTGCAAAATTCTTAGTATATCACAATTTGCCAATGATGAGGATAGCAACGAAGTCGTCAGCAAAAACGTCACCTACAATGAAGACGACAACATCGATTTCTACAACGACGAAAACTTCACCAATGCAATCAGCAATAAGAAAATAGTCAAGGAACGACTAAGTTTTTTAAATTCTTTTTTGAAGGGGGTAACCTCACAGTCGAACTCATGAATTGAAAAAGAAGGTGATCATTAATTTAATGGTTTATATTTGTACGCCTCAAACAATTGCTATGTGCTCCGCAAGAATTAACTACGTCACCAGCGTCACGACATAAATTCTGATAATGACTTTTATGCAAGCTGCTTTATACATCTCCTCCATTGCCTCGGCCTTCGTAGATCATCCCTTTTAAGCAATCGCCATTACAAATACGTCTAAAATTTGAAGTGGGGAAGATACATTAAAAACTAAGTAGCATTGTCGAAATAAGACTGGTTATAGTAGACTAAGCGTTTAAATGTAATTGCGCGCCCATAGGTTAAAGCTATTAGTGATTGTGAGGAAGGTAATCGCCGATTTTTCTGATTTGTACGTATCTATATGTGTGACTGACTTTGTGCCTCTCTATGTGTTTGCAAGAACGCTAGGTGTACCCTCTAGTCTTTCGCCGGCTTTTTATGTAAATAAAGCTAGCATTGCCGTAAACATGTTTCAAAGTAAAAATTAGTGTGTCACCTACGCTTCTAACGACTAACGCTTGTGGTACCTTACACGTCGCAACAAGTGCGATGTAGTGTGTCGCCTACTTTGTGTGTGTCCGCAAAAAAAGCTAGGTGTGCTTTACACGTCGTGAAAGGTGCGATGTAGCAATTACAAAGAGTAACAGACTGTCTTATTAACTTTACTGTTCTTAGGATTGCTGCTAAGCCTCCAGCCGCTCAATCATCTTAATCGGGGCGTGAGCTGCCGTTTAGGGTCATGTTGAGAAATGGTCGTGGAGAAACCGGGGTGAGACATATTTCTGTCGCTACCCGAAAAGAGAAGTCGACCCTGTCGCGGTTGAACCGGTATTTTCTAACCGCTTTTGCTTGTAGCTGTCGAAAAAGTGTTTGTGTAGTTCAAATTTTGCTTGGCTAGCGGTTGTTCCTCGTTATTGCACCCAGCGGTGTAGCTATGCTCATAAGGTGGTGAAGCAGATGGAGCACGCTATTCTCCAGATTCGTACTCGAGCCCTGCCGATATCTCTCCTTGTCCGGAAAACTGGAGACCAATATCCGCTCTGACGCCCAAAGGTAGGTCTGGTGCTATTCCATAACGGTATGGACATGTTACATGTAATCAACTTTGATTTTGGTTGATTATAACACTATCATAAAGGTTGATAATGTTTGTGAATATTGCCATGAGGGGTGATATTCTAAAAAACTCACCAACTATCTAATACGGTACATCATGTCAGACAGCTCAAGAGGTACAATCAACGATTGATGCGCGCAATGAGTTGTAAGCAAGTCTTTAGCATACACTTTTGTAGATTAATCTGGTTAAGTTATGAAATAACAAAGGTACATGTATGTGTGACTTAACCATATTGAGAAATTTTTACGTTCTACTTCTCTTTGACGCATCGTTCAATAATCAGCCTTTCTCTGCACGTACAGTGTACGTGAAGTGATGCGCGGCACTACTTACACCGTATCGGTGTAGGTGCATTAGTATTAAGGCAGT